AGAGGTCCTTTCTTCTCCAAAGCGCAAGCGCACACACGCGCACACACGCGCACGCTCACCCTCCCTCCCTCCCTATAGCTCCAGGGCGTATCTTAAGTACCTTCTCCAGGCTGGCCTCCACCCTCCTTCACAGGTGATAACAATTTAGTGCACTGCTTTGATTTTAATTAACAAAATTCTCAAAAGTTACAATCCAAGGATACAACTGGGGTTCCTTCCCAGGATCTTATCTGGTTTCAGAGGTTTATAGCTTTCTAACACCTAAAGCAGGATTCAGGAAGCTTTTCCATCTACTAAATAGAACAAGGGAATATACAAAAGACAGGTTAATTCCCCCAATCCCGGATCTCCATCACAATATGAAACAGTCTTCCTTTTTTAATAGGTGTGTTTTAAATATTTCTAATTTCTCTTTAAGGGCAAAAGCCCTCCCAAAGTGGCTTACATATTATAATAGAAATAAACAAAACTATTTTAAAACCAACACATTCCTAAAGTGAAAACACTTCTTCAGAATATTAAAATGAATCCCAGTTTCAACAGAATTCTATGAAGATTAATAAGATTTATTTGGGAGAATTCTAGGGTAATTAAATGGGATTTTTAGTCATAAAATAATAATACATAGGGTCCAATTTCCCAACATGTCATAATCCATGGGCACCAGTATGCCTCTGGACACATTACTTGATGTCTACCAGACTCCAGGCTCACCTGATTTTATTTTTTTTATTAAAAATTAAGAAACAAGTACATCAAGTGATGACATGAGATATTGCCCTGTCTGTGGTGGGACCCTGAATATTGAATGCCTTTTCCAAGAGGTAGGTAACATTTTCATGGGTGGTTAAGATCTTTATGAATCACTTAGCACCATTGTAAAGAAAATGGTTGAAACATTGCCTTTCTTTTTCTGCTGTTAGTTCTGACTTTTTATTTTACATTAGGATCTATTTATTAAAGGGTGAAGACAGATTAAATTAAATTATTTTTAAAATAAATAACCTGTCATTATACAGGTTCAGTGACTAAAGTGTATAACTAGAGGCAATCTGTTTTTATTTAAAGGTTTTATATGGCCACTCAACTTGCAATATGGAGAGTCCAGGCAGCATACAACAATAAGACTGTGAGTTCTAGTCCCACTTTAGGCATGAAAGCTGTCTGGGTGACTTTGGGTGAGTCACTCTCTCTCAGCCCAACTCACCTCAGAGGGTTGTTGTGGAGAAAACAGCATTAGGTATGTTTGCCACCTTGGGTTATTTATAAAAAATAATAAAGGCAGGATAAAAATCTAAATAAATAAAACATAATTACAATATATACAATTTTTAAAAAATCACAATATATACTACACTTTGCAGGGGAAGTTCATT